ATAAAAATTCTAGATCACCACAGAACAAATATCCTCTGCTGGATAGTCTTGAAAGTTCAGCATTTGAAATACTAGTGCGCTGCTTTATCAAACCACTAAAAAAAATTCCACCAAGGATAATGTGCAGTATAATAATTAAAAAAAGCGCCTCAAATGAAGGATTAGATTTGGATTACTGTAAACCAAACTGGCCACTGTTAGCACTAATTTAAGAAAGCCACTGCATGCAGAAACCCAGCTGAAATGATCCACACAGATCAAAAGATCTAAATCATACTAAATCAAACAGATTTAGTATAAGAGCTTAGGAAGCAATTCTTTTCACTTAAATTTTCAAGGCCAGTTGATAGATTCCTTGCCCTACCAACTGGAGGACTTAAAAAAAATAAAAAAAAATAAAATAAAAAGCAGTTCCAGATTATCCAGTTTGAAATCAAGTTTTTCTCACCAAGAAATCCAGTGTATGCCTATACTAGACGTGTAGTTTGTTACAAAAAACGCAGAGTATAAACTACTGAAATTTTGTAACGAGTGAAATCCAAATGTTAACAACTTGCATAAATAGCAGTTAAAATGGTCAAACTCTCCTTCTGTTTCTTCCTTCCCGCCCCCAAAAGTGCAAAATCAAGATGCTGCTTGGTCCACGAACACAATACATCACATACAGAGATATCTGACTTTTGATGGGACACTGGTGCCAATCCATCACTTCCAGTTTGCAGTCTGAGAACACTTCAACGTCCAAAGATGGAGTTCAATTCCAGCAGAATTAATTCTACAATCTGATTCTGGTACACTGTATGAACCGCTATGTTACCAGTCTCTTTTTCTGGCTTTAATAAAGTTGGACCAAAAACTATTGCTATACTTTGATAGGTCATTCGGTTCTTCTCTCCATTTTCCACTACTCTGAAGGGGGGAAAAAAGAAAATACACTTTAAAAATAATCAATTAGTGTCAGAACTTACTATTGTCAATGAGTTTTTATCTTCTTGCTTTTCAACACATTTATTCCTTCTGTCATCTATAAAACACTGCTGCCATACAGCCACTGCTGTAACTCCCTCCGCTTAGAAAATCTTATACTTGAAACAATATTCTTGACAGCATCCCAACCTCAGACCCCTATAATCTAAAGCCATGGACAGTGTTTCAGTTTATTCACTGCCAAACTTGGGTTCATGTCTTTGGAAGCTTGTATAAAGACAAGTCTGGTGTTCTACTTTGATTAAAGCACAATGAACATCAGAAGAAAAAAAAAGTAGTACATTGGTCCCTCAGGACTTATATTTTTTAAGAAAGTTCAGCTGTGCAATAGGACTTTCTCCTCCATCTGTTACTTACCTCTTGAGGTGTTTGAAAAGTACCTGCATGGTATCTTGGTTTGGTTTTGGCAATTGCTTAATTAAATCTTTGACAGCATGGACACGTTGTCTTGGTTCTTGTTCTGGAAAACATAAAAGTTTACACACCATAATTCAACTTAATTTAAAATCTGTCAAAAACTCAATGAAGGGCACAATTCTGTATTGCTGATATTAGGTAGCATACTGCCATCTGCTGGCCAAATTATATACTACTAGTAAATGATCTTCAGTAAGACAGCATTTCATAACATATCCTTTTGAAATGATGAAAAGGAGAATAATTAAGTATACTGTGCACGATGTATGAAAATTCTGCGCGTGTCTCTGGACTTACTAATTGCATTGACAAAGTCATTGAAGTGATTATATGTGAAGAGTGGTTCTGGCAGCTCTCTGAAAAACATTTTTAGTGCTCCTGTGATGACATGTATGTCTTCCCATTTACTGTCATTCAAGTCTAATTTCTCATCTGAAAGACAAGGTAAAGAATATAATTGTAGGCAATTTAACCAACCTAAAACCCAGGACACATCTCTACTCTTATTTCCAAGACTCGGAGTTAAAACCAAGGATGACATTCTTACCCCAGCTTCAGCCCCCTTTCTGCTGGGTAAGAGAATGGGAGCAGCGGCTCTGCATGCTCTGTACCTACCCGTTAGAGGAGCTGCAGCATCAGCACTGTGGAACCCCCAATGTAAGGCTGATCCAATGACCCCCTATCAAAGTTCTGATGCAATATGTGGTAATGCAGCTCGTAGGTCAGCCCTGAAGCAGCTACAGTAACAAAGACAGACCCACAGGACTATCTAGGTTATGCAAAGGGCCTTTTCAACCTTCAAAACAGTACAGGTTTAAGATGGTCAACTGGCTTAAAGTCAGTTTGACTCCGATCTCCTCTGGACAGAGTCCTTTGATGGACCTTTCAGGAGTGCAGAAAAAAATCCCATTGATGGTGTAAGTGGCAGAAAAATACCAAATGCTATTGTAAGTTCAGTACAGTTGCTTGCTTTCTATGGAGTAAGGAAATGTTTTATTTGAATTAAATTATTTTTAAATTGCCATGATTTTTTAAGAATTGTGTAGCATATTACAGAGAGCCCTAGTTATGAGCAACCCTGACATGCTATTTGTTAAAGAATAAAGATAGCACCCTTGTAGAGCTTGGGTACCTGGTACCTTGCAGAACTTAGAAGTAGCTATTTAAGAGTATTTTAAACTTGTTTTCGTTTTGGGAGGGGAGGTGAAGGGGGGCACAGCAGTTTGTTTTTTTAATAAAATACTGTAGTGTTCTCTTAAAGATTAACCAAAAAAGTATATTCCTAGACAACCTGAAGGTCTAAGAGTTTTGACAAATAGTCTTGCAGAGATTTTCAAACTGTTAATGAAGTTGAAGGGAACTTACCATGATTAACTGCAAACCTTAGCTTCTGTATCACTGCAAGGTTGCCACTGACTCGGTATAGCCCATCAACATCTAATCCTAAAACACATTTTAAATTCATTTTAATAGGTTAAAAATTCTTATGGATATTCAGGTACATTAATCTGCTGCTTGCTTTAGAGAACAGACAGAAAAAAGAAAACCCATAAATGTAGACTGCAAATACATTTGCCAATAAAAGCTGATTTAAACTAGCTACTTTGTTGTGGATTTGTAGGGCTGAATTATTTACCAACAAGCAGTCCTGCTATTCCAAAACGCAGTTGAAATAATTTCTAAAATCTAACATACTAAAAGTGTGTGGCTTCCTGTTGTGCCCAATGAAGCAAGGTATCCAGCTTAGTACGTCTCAGACAAAGTTACCTAAGGCACTTTTGAAAATCCTCTCTCTAATATTTAGTTATTGCAAGCAATGCGTAATACATGAAGAATTTAAGACACGTGTATTCTCTCTAGAACAAATAAAAGCACGAGTGGAGCCTGGACCCAAGATGGCAGTGGGAGTGTGGAGCTCAGGTGGGCAGGGTGTGAGTATAAGGGATCGTGGCATGGTGTAGGAAACCCCCACGCTCTTCCCCCCTTGATGAATAACCCCCAGTGTTAACAGCAGGAGCACGGTAAGAATAATCACCTTCCTACTATTGCCTTAGAATTGGTGTATGACCAATTAAAAAAAATTAGATGTAT